CTGTAGTCCCAGCTACTCAAGAGGCTGAGGCAGGAGAATCACTTGAACCATAAGGCGGAGGTTGCAGTGAGCCAAGATCACACCACTGTACTCCAGCCTGGGAGACAGAGCAAGACTCCATCTCAAAGAAAAAAAATAATAATAATAATTGAAAGCAGGAACTCAGACATTTGTATACCAATGTTCATAGCAACACTATTCACAATAGCCAAAAGGTGGCAACAACCCAAATATCTATCGACTAATGAATGGATAAACAAAATGTGTTCTATGGAATACAATGTAATATTATTCAGTCTTTAAAAAGAAGAAAATTCTAACACATGCCACAACATGAATTAACCTTGAAGACATGCTACATAAAATAAACCAGACACAAAAGGACAAATATTTTATGATTCCACTTTTATGAGGACCCTAGAAGAGTCATATTCATAGAGACAGAAAATATAATGGTAGTTGCCAGGGGCTGGAGAGAGGGAGGAACAGAGATTTATCATTTAATGGGTGCAGCGTGTGGAGATAAAAGTGTTCTGGGTCGGGTGCAGTGGTTCATGCATGTAATCCCAGCACCTTGGGAGGCTGAGGTGGGCAGATCACCTGAGGTCAGGAGTTCAAGACCAGCATGACCAACATGGAGAAACCCCGTCTGTACTAAAAATACAAAATTAGCTGGGCATGGTGGCGCATGCCTGTACTCCCAGCTATTCGGGAGGCTGAGGCAGGAGAATCACTTGAACCCAGGAGGTGGAGGTTGCGGCGAGCCGAGATCACGTCATTGCACTCCAGCCAGGGCAACAAAGAAAAAAGTGTTCTGGAGGTAGATGGTGGTTATGGTTACCCAACAATGAGAAAGTACTTAATGGCACTGAACTGTACCTTTACAAATAGTTAAAATGGTCAATTTTATGTTACATATATTCTATCACAATTTTTAAAAAGAAAAGACAAAACACTGAAACAAGAAGCACAGAGTTCTAACTGGAATCAAGCCATGGTGAAAGAATGAAATTTTGGCCATTATATGTAAACAGAGAGATGCAATTTTTTTCTGGAAGCTATTGTACATCACTTCCCTTAGATTGTCAAAATGCTCAGTTTCTAAAAATACTTTTACTACTGGCTGGGCGCAGTGGCTCACACCTATAATCCCAACACTTTGGGAGGCCAAGGCGGTGAGGTCAGTAGTTCCAGACCAACCTAGTCAACATGGTGAAACCCCGTCTCTACTAAAAACACAAAAATTAGCTGGGAGTGGTGGCAGCCTCCTGTAATCCCAGCTACTCAGGAGGCTGGGGCAGGAGAATCACTTGAACCCAGGAGGCAGAGGTTGCAGTAAGCTGAGATCACACCATTGCACTCCAGTCTGGGTACCAAAGCGAAACTCCGTCTCAAAAAAAAAAAAAAAAAAAAAAAAAAAATATATATATATATATATATACACACACACACATATGTATATAACTACTACTGCCTTTTAACCAATAAAATTTTTAAAAAATTACAATGTTAACAGGATTTTATAAAACTAATTTTTCCAACACGCCCCAAACAATACAGAACACAATAGTTACACTCAACCTCTGCATACATTAAATCTTCAAATAAATACCTGCTAGTATGAAAAAAGTACCTAATATTTGGTGACCAACTGTCCAATATGGCTCTCACAAATCTAATGCAGTATATGAAACATGAACAAGAGAATAAAAGAATAACTTCTTAGAGTCTGTTTAAAGTAGAGAGTTAAATGAACAAAGTTGAAGCAGATCATGGCATATTTTTCAAGGCAGAGAGACAGGGAGGCACCAATGTCTGAAACAATGAACACTATTAGGCTAAACATAACACCAGGGACTCAGATGTCACACTAACTGGGAAGTACTATGTCAGTTTCTCTAACTCCTATAATTAAAGAACAATATTCTAAACTACTGGCCAAAAGGCTTTTAGAGGAAAAGTCCTGACTACACAAAAATGTAAAACAACAGTATAGTAAAAAAGATAAAACAAAGTTAACTAAATAGATTGAAGATATCTGCCACATACCTAACAGTCAATGGCTTAATATTCCTGCACGAAGAAACTCCTAAAAATCAATAAAGACAGATAAAACTCAATACGCAATGGCAAATTACAAAGTTTCCCCTTGCTTCATTTTTCGAGTCTTAAAACACTCCTCACAGGTTCTTTCACAGCATTTTTCCTGGGCCTGGCCTCCCATGTAGCTGTCGGAAAACCATCACTCTCTAAACTACAATCACACACCCACAAGGAGGTCTCCAAGGCTACTAAAAGTTAATCTCATGTGCTTTTCATCTAAAAGAACGGTAGCATAATCTAAAAGACTGTCACATATCTGATAAATGACTTGTATCTAGAATATATAAAGAACTCTTGCAACTCAATTACAAATAAGAACCTAATTTAAAAATGGGCAAAGGATCTGAGCAGACATTTCTCCAAAGAAGATACATAAATGGGCAATAAGCACTTGAAAAGATGCTCAACATCATTAGCCATCAGGGAAACGCGATTTGAAACCACAATATTTTCAAAAAGTTAGGAGATTTTTAATGGTTGCAACACAAAGAAAAGATGAATGTTTGAGGTGATGGACATGCTAATTACCTGATTTGATCATTACACATTGTATACATTTATCAAAATAACATTCTGTAGTCCCTAAATATGTACAATTACTACATGTCAACGAAACAAAAAATGAAAACACGATGACACACACTTCACACCCACTAGAATGGCCAGAATCAGAAAGACAGATAATGACAAGTGTTGGCAAGGAGTGAGAAATCAAAACCCTAATACACTACTGGTGAGAATGTTAAAAAGATGCACACTGATGCTTTGGAAAACAGTCTGACCGTTTCTTAAAATGTTAAACAGAGATACCATATGACCCAGCCATTTCACTCCTAGGCACATATGCAAGAGAAATGAAAACATGGTATGTCCACACAAAAACCTGTAGGTGAATGTTCACAGCAGCATTATACATAATAGCCAAAAGGTGGAAACAATCCAAACGTCCACTAACTAATGGAAAATAAATCGTGGTAATACCTATAAAATAAAAGATTAACCAGCAATTAAAGAAGTACTGACACATGCTATTAAATACAACACAGACGAACATGAATGTTAAGTAAAAGAAGCCAGCTGAAAAAGACCACATGCTGTATGATTTCACTCACATGAATAATCCAGAACAGTCAAATATACAGTCAGTCAATTCATAGTTGCTTAGGGCTTAGAATGGGGAGTGGGGATGGGGAAGTCAGGTGAGCCTGCTGAATAAGTACAGGGTTTCTTTTTGGAGTGATGAAAATGTTCGAAAATTGTTCCAATATGGCTCTCACAAACTGAATGCAGCACATTAAACATGAACAAAAGAATACAAGAATAACTTACTGCAGTCTGTCTGAAATAGACTTAATAAAATTAAACCAACTAATGAAGTTGAAGAAGATTACAGCATATTTTGTGATGATGGTTGTACAACCTTGTGAATGTACTAATTACTTTTAGGTTTGGTTTTGTTTTTTATTTTTTATTTTTTTTTTTTGAGACGGAGTCTAGCTCTGACGCCCAGGCTGGAGTGCAGCGGCGCGATCTCAGCTCACCGCAAGCTCCGCCTCCCGGGTTCATACCATCCTCCTGCCTCAGCCTCCTGAGTAGCTGAGACTACAGGCGCCAGCCACCACGCCCGGCTAATTTTTTGTATTTTTAGTGGAGACGGGGTTTCACCGTGTTAGCCAGAATGGTCTCGATCTCCTGACCTCGTGATCCGCCCACCTCAGCCTCCCAAAGTGCTGGGATTACAGGCGTGAGCCACCGCTACATTTTAAATGGTGAATTCTATGGTGGGTGAACTATGTGTCAGAAAGTTGTTTTATTTTTTTAAAGGGCTGAAGACTGTTTTGTTTTGTTTTGTTTTCATTTTATCCCATTTTTTAAAACAGTGCCTAGCAATATTATGAATTCAATCGATTTTGGCTAAATGTTAAAACAAAAATAAAAACTTGGGTAAACCATATGAAACTTTGCCGTATCTAAAGTTATTAAATTACTGTAAACTGGCATGGTGGGAGCATAATATGAGTGTACCTGCAGGTGTGTTTTCCATGAAAGTAGCAAAGACTGAAAAATTCAGCAGAATCAAGACCCCGAAGGCCCCTTAAGTTAGGCTAAGAAATGTGTATTATCCTGAAGGCAACGGGAAGTCCAGGAAGATTCTGAGGACAGAAATAACACAATCAGATATGTTTTAAACGTGCAAGTGTAAGCGAAGAGTTGCTACTTCTATCCAAAAGTGAGGCACCATTTCCCCCAGGGGAAAATGGGAAGGAATTAGGGGAAGACTGGAGAAACAGGTTATCAAATTATCAGAATCTCCATAGATTTTTAAAAATTACACAGCATCCACCCCAAACACACATACAGACTGACAGGCACTGATACATACATCCAATGTCCCCTACACAGAAACTCACTTTTGTAGTCAGCTCCTGTTGGTAGGGTTTTTCTGTCATTCAAGTGTGGCGGGGACAAAAAGTATTATAACCACTAAACCAGATAATTCTTTCCTACAATAATGTGGGCAGCGTACTCCCCAGGTGTTGAAATTTAGTACTACCAACAAAAGTACCCAGTCCCAACTCTTCGAGAGGACCCCAACTCTTTACAGTGTGCTGTTGGGGATGCCCAGCAAAAACTGCAGGACAAAGTCAACGTTAGCTCGACACAGTCTCCTAACTCCGAGCGGACGGAGCCAGCGCGGGTTACCAGGAGCCAAAGAAGCAGCGCAGGGAGGTCGCGACCCGGAGCCGGCGCGAACCTCCGCGATGTGACCCGTGAGGGAACTCTCCAAGCAGCAGAGCACCCCGCGCGCGAAGGCGGCCGCCCGGATTGCAGAAACAAACGCTTCTCGCTGGCGGGGGAAGACGGAGACTCTTACTGCCGCAGGAGACTAACCTGTGAGCAACAGAACCACCACGCTGTGGAGAGTGTGAGCAGTTCTTCCAGGCGTGGGGGGAGCACGGGTAAATGACCGCGGTCCGGCGCGCCAGCGGGGAGCAGTCGAGACTTCCGGCGTCTGCAGCTCGCAGGGCTAGAGCGTCGAATCGGGGCAACCGGAGGCTTCAGCTCACACCGGATTGTAAATGCTAACGCGGGTCTTAGGGCCGGCGGATCCAGGACTTAGGTCGCCGGGACTTGTGGCTTCTGCTTCTCAGACGTTCGGACTCGCGCTGGGAAGGGGTTCGCCTCCCCTGGTCCCCGCTTTTTTTTTTTTTTCTGCGTCCGGTTATTGCAAATGCATTCAGTCCAGTAGCACTAACCCAGGAAATTTAAGCACCGGCTCACGTTATTTCTCGCAGGTATGTGGCGCTTCCGCTGGCCTCTAAGGACACAAAGCCCCGGGCCGTCTGACCCCCACTCCAGCACTGAAATCCATGCCGCCCCGTTCAGCTGACAAATTTGGCAGCACTAAATTTTATTTTATTCTACAAATTGAGTGCCCAGTTAACACCAGGGAGTACCGGGGTAAGAAAATTTCAGAAGTCAGGTGGATAATAATAGCATTTACCTCATAAGTTTGTTATGAGGATGTAAAGCGCTTAGAATAGTGTCTGGCACTTTGTAGGCGCTCAGTGAATGTTAGCTATTTTTTTTTTTTTTTTTGAGACGGAGTCTTGCTCTGTCGCCCAGGCTGGAGTGCCGTGGCCGGATCTCAGCTCACTGCAAGCTCCGCCTCCCAGGTTCACGCCATTCTCCCGCCTCAGCCTCCCGAGTAGCTGGGACTACAGGCGCCCGCCACTTCGCCCGGCTAGTTTTTTGTATTTTTTAGTGGAGACGGGGTTTCACCGTGTTAGCCAGGATGGTCTCGATTTCCTGACCTCGTGATCCACCCGTCTCGGCCTCCCAAAGTGCTGGGATTACAGGCTTGAGCCACCGCGCCCGGCCCACTATTATCATCTTAATGTCAAGCTTGAAATCCAGTATCTTTCCTCTGCGAAGCCATGACTCCAAGACTAATTAACTTTGGACTAAGGCATTTTTAAACTCTTGATCACACATCCCTATCACAAAAAAAAAAAAAAAAAAATTTACATGTATCATGTATGGCATTAATATATTATGCATGCTATAAAACTTTCACAAGACATCAAACTTTTTTTAAGTGAGGTAAAAACAATTTTTAAACTTTTTAAAAAAACTGCTAACAGAAGTTCTTTTCTTCCTACACAATTAGGTTGCCAAACATACATTCTATCACTCTGGAATCCACTAGCTAAATGAGAACATTATCAAAGCAACCTACCGTTCAATTCTGAGTTCCCAGAATGTTTCTTTTCCAAAGAATTAATAGAAACTAATCAGACTGTGAGATACTTGAACCATAAGGACTATTTAAATGGTTCTTAGAGAAAAAGAAGAAATAAAATAGGCATCCACTGAGTAATATTCATTGATGCAACATTGACTATTGACTTCTTACATTTTCAAAGAAAGAGATTGAGATTATAATACCTTACACCAAGCTTAATAGTTCAAAGAATAAATCAACTAATAAAAAGCTTATGAGGTTTGGTATATGTGCATTTCATACAACATTCATGAAAATGAACCCCAAATCAGTTAGCTCCTGTTCTGTACCAGACAGAGAAATATGTTTACTTTGTACGTAACAAAACATTAAAGAGGCTTTTCTGACCATTTGCTCGAAAACTCATAACTTAGCATTTCTATCACTGGACTTAAATCTGCTAAAGTTTTCGTCTAAATTTTACATTAAAAACAAAACTCTATAGTGAATAATGTTACCTACCCAATATTCATTTTCCTCTAACTCCTTTGTACTAAAATCCTTATTTCATTCAGATAGCTGCCCTATTCCAGAATCAAAATGATACTGATTAAAGCAGTCATCATACAGAATTTTTTTGGAAATATTTGCTGATCAAGGAATGAGTATATGACCCAAGTTGGCTCAATCTGACTGAAGGAAAGGACCACTATTTCATGCTCAGGAGAATTCTGATATACTGTCTTCTTGAGGTGGAAACATCTATCCCACACTGTCATTAACAGCCATCCTGCCCATCACGAGGAATAAAACTGATGGACCAATGCTGAGGACAACTGAACAAAGTTATAAAATGATGTCCTTGGTGACATCATTCCAAACCTGGAGCTCACCCTGTATCTGAACGCCTTGTAGGGATGTCTAATAAGTTTCCTTATTATTTTTGTTTCTTGTTTTTCTGAGACTGAGTCTCACTCTGTCTCCCAGGCTGGAGTGCAGTGGCACAATCTCAGCTCACTGCAACGTGCACTTCCCAGGTTCAAGCGATTCTCCTGCTTCAACCTCCCAAGTAGCTGTAACTACAGGCATGCACCAACAAACCTGGCTAACTTTTGTATTTTTAGTTGAGAAGGGGTTTCACCATGTTGGCCAGGCTTCTCTTGAACTCCTGACCTCAGTGATCCACCCACCTCAGCCTCCCGGAGTGCTGGGATCCTTACTGTTTTCTGATAAAGATGCCATAAAGATTAAATGGGTTAAAATAGTGCTGGTCATATTGTAAGTATTGTAAGAGTGCTTAATAAATTTTAGTTATTATTAACTCACCTTAAGTCAGGGATTCTGTTTCTTATAGCCAGAAGTACTCATCAAATACACAGTCTACCCTTCTTTTTCTATATATTTAAAGAAAGGGTCTGTTTTGATACTTCTCAACTTCTAAGGAGTCAGGGAAGGGGTAGGAGGTGGAGAGAGGAGGGACTGACTATAATGCCATATGAGGGGTACTTTTAAGTGGTTAAATGGCCACTTTGAGAAATTCACTCAAGAGCAGCAGGATCCTAGAACTATAAAATCTGAATGGGGTTACTACACATCGTGGTTGTATGTATACATGAAAGTATCATTTCCTGCATATTAATATCGTGATCCACTGCCTTACTAAGTTGCTTTATTGTTTGGAGTTCATTCTCGTAGAGTTTCTAGGATTACAATCTTATCATTCAAATAGTTTTACCTACTTCTTTCCAAGTTTTATACCTCTACTTTCTCATATCTAATTGCTTTGGCTAGTATCTCCAGTAAAATATTTAATAATAATAATGACGGTAGACGTTTATGTCTTATTCCTATCTTTAATGAGATATCTCTAGAATTTTCCCATTAAGCATGATGTTGGTTTTAAGGACCGAAGTAGATATCTTTTATCATGTTAAGGAACTATCCACCTATTGAGAGAATGAAGAAAATGTTGGCATAAGAGCTTTGAGAAAACAAAGCATTGAGCATGCCATAGTGTCCTGTCATAAAAATAAGTAAAAGTTAGACAGTATTTACCTCAAAGACACTAAGAAAATTAACATTAGCTAGATTGGTATGAATGTCCTTTCTTGCTTATCTTCCTACCAGCATGAAATTCAGTCCTGCCTAGTTTGTTTACAAGAAATTCACCTGTGATATCCTGATTTTTAACCCTGAAAAAGTTATTTATCTCTTACAATATGTCCTGTTTAATGTAAAGTTAATGCTTGCTCTAATGTTTTTTGTTTTTTGCTTTTGTGTTTGCTTTTACATGTACTCCAAGTACATGCTCTACATGTTTATTATAGAAAATCATGTGCACTTCCTATAGTTTTGTTATAAGAAATTGTAGCTGTTCAGATATGCTGGTTGCAAAAAGTAAGGGACATTTTATAATAATAATTGGATTAGATCATCAAGAAGATATAACAGTCTTAAATTTGTGTGAATCTGGCCAGGCGCAGTGGCTCACACCTGTAAGCCCACCACTGTGGGAGGCTGAGGCAAGTGGATCATGAGGTCAGGAGGAGTTCAAGACCAGTGTGACCAACATGGTGAAACCCCATCTCTACTGAAAATACAAAAATTGGCCAGGTGTCATAGTGCGCACCTGTAATCCCAGCTACTCAGGAGGCTGAGGCAGGAGAATCGCTTGAACCTGGGAGGCAGAGGTTGCAGTGAGCCAAGATTGCACCACTGCACTCCAGCCTGGGCAACAGAGCAAGACTCTGTCTCAAAAAAAAAAAAAAAAAAATTGTTTGGAACTAATAGCAGAGCTTCAATAAATGTGAAGCAAAGACCGAAAGGACAATTCAAAAAACTTGAAATTGTAGGCCCTGTACGGTGGTTCACACCTATAATCCCAGCACTTTGGGAGGCCGAGGCGGGCAGATCATGAGGTCAGGAGTTCAAGACTAGCCTGACCAACAGGGTGAAACCCCATCTGTACTAAAAATACAAAAATCAGCCAGGCATGATGGCACGCACCTGTAATCCCAGCTACTCAGGAGGCTGAGGCAGGAGAATTGCTTGAACCCAGGAGTTGGAGGTTGCAGTGAACTGAGATCGCAGCACTGCAGTCCAGCCTCAGTGACAGAGACTCCATTAAAAAAAAAAAAAAGAAAAGAAAAATTGAAAATTGTAGTGGAGATTTCATCTCTCAGCAATTAATAGAAAAACTAGACAAAAAAATCAGTAAGTGCATAAAAAACCGGAGCAACACTACTAACCAACTTGACCTATTTAATGTTTATAGAACACTCCATAAATAGCTAAATGCACCTTTTAAGTGTGTAGAATATTTGTATGCTAGTTCATAAAATAAACATTGATAAATTTAAATAGATTGAAATTGTATACAGTATGTTGTCTTATAATTATAAATCAATAACAGATATGTGGAAAACCCAAATATTTTGAAATTAAGTAATACACTTCTTTTGAAATTAAGTACACACTTTGACTCGGGTCAAATTAATAATGGTAAAGGAAACAAGCATATTTTGAACTGAATAAAAATATATATCAAAAAGCATTGAATGCAGTTAAAGTAGTGCTTTCTTTAGAGAGGAAAATTATAGCATTACATGCTTAATATAAGGAATAAAAATATAAAAAAAGAAAAAGTATAAGTTAAATTATTTTAGCTTCCACTTTAAGAAATTAGGGGGAAAACTAAAAATAATAGAAAATGAAATAATAAAGATAATTTTGGAAATCAATTAAATAAAAGAGCTAGTTCTTTTTTCAGTTTATTTATTTATTTTTGAGATGAAGTCTTGCTACATTGCCTAGGCTGGTCACAAAATTCTGGGCTCAAGCAATCCTCCCACCTCAGCCTTTGGAGTAGCTGGGGATTACAGGCACTCAATATTGCACCCAGCTAAAACAGCTGGTTTTTTTAAAAGACCTGTAGAATCCAGCCCTATGGGGCTTAGCGGGTGTTCTCCCTGTGTGCAGAGACAAGAGATTGTAATAAATAAAGACACAAGACAAAGAGATAAAGAGAAAGCAGCTGGGCCCAGGGGACCACTCCCATCAAGATGCAGAGACCAGTAGTGGCCCCGAATGGCTGGGCTAGCTGACATTTACTGCATACAAGACAAGGGGGCAGGGTAAGGAGGGTGAATCTTCTAAGTGATTGACAAGGTGAAGCAAGTCACATGATCATAGTACAGGGGGCCCTTCCTTCTTAGGTAACCAAAGCAGAGAAAAAAAAGAGAAGGCAGCATACATCAGCATCTTCTATGCACTTATAAGAAAGACTTTAACTTTTTAAGACTTTCACTTTTTCTTCTACCGCTATCTACCACGAACTTCAAAGAGGAACCAGGAATACGGGAGGAACATGAAAGTGGACAAGGACCATGACCATTGAAGCACAGCACCACAGGGAGGGATTTATGCCTCCGGATGACTACGGGCAGGCCTGGATAATATCCAGCCTTCCAAAAAAAGCTGGTAGAGCAGAGTGTTCCCTGACTCCTCCAAGGAAAGGAGACTCCCTTTTGCGGTCTGCTAAGTAACAGGTGCCTTCCCAGACACCGGCATTACCACTTGACCAAGGAGCCCTCAAGCGACCCTCATGTGGGCATGACAGAAGGCTCACCTCTTGCCTTCTAGGTCACTTCTCACAATGTCCCTTCAGCACCTGACCCTATACCCACCGGTTATTCCTAGATTATATTAATAATGCAACAAAGAGTAATGTTAAAAGCTAATGATTAATAATGCTTATAATAATGATTGATAATTGTCCATGATCATCTCTGTATCTAATTTGTATTATGGCTATTCTCATTCTAACTATTTTCCTTATTATAATGAAACAGTTTGTGCTTTCAGTCTCTTGCCTCAGCACCTAGGTGATCCTCCACCCACAAGACCAATAAAATTGGTAAACCTCTAGCTAAACTGATCAGTCAAAAGAAAGAGAGAGAGAACACAAATTACCAATATCAGGAATGAAAGAAGAAAAATCAGTAGAGATCAGTAGAGACATTAGAAGAAAAATAAGGAGTTCTGTTTCTGGTTACAACTGAGTACCTCCTATTGGACCGTTCTTCCCATAGATAAAAACTAAAAACTCTGGACGAAGTACAAAAAATAACTACCTGAAGATACTGGAGAACACCCTAAGAAGGTAGATACCAGAGGGAAGTTGATGCTGGGAAGAAAGGAATGGGACCCAAGGAGTTTCCCATTGTCATGGGTTTTCTGCTTGAGGACAGGGCCCAGTTGTTACTCTCAATCTTACTGGCTTCAAAAACCAGAAGACAGAGTTTGGGATACATAGCACATCTGGAAAGTGGGGGAAAATCCAAGAAAGGAAATCACGCAAGAAGGAAAGAAGTCAGAGAGAAGGAAAACCAAACTATTTGTATGTGTATGAGCTGCCCACATTTCTGGCTGACACCTGAAACATACATGTGTCAAACATTTTGAGCCATCTAAGACTCAAAAACTGAAGGGAGGCCAGGCACAGTGGCTCACTCCTATAAAGCTAGCACTTTGGTAGGCCAAGGCAGGAGGATTGCTTGGAACCAGGAGTTCAAGATCAGCTTAGGCAAGATAGCAGGACCTCATCTCTAAACAAACAAAATTGTTTTTTAATAGCCAAGTATGGTGGCACACGCCCGCAGTCCCAGCTACAGATGTGAGGCTGAGGTGAGAGGATTGCTTGAGCCCAGGACTTCGAGGTTATAGTGAGCTATGATTGCACCATTGCATTCCAGCTAGAGCAACAGTGAGATAAGGAAGGAAGGAGGGAGGGAGAGCAAATTAACAATATCAGGTATGAAAGAGGAGTTATTACATATCCTGCAAGCATTAAAAGTTCTGAAGATGGTATGACCTTCACAGATGTCCTGAAATGAAGCAAAAGGTTAAACTTTAACAACCCCACATTGTATATCAGCCACTCCAGGAGGGAACCACGACCAAGGATGAAACAGTTCTTTTCCACTGAGGTAATTCCTGAAGGAAGCACCTAAGCGGTGGAGTAATGAGCATTTCATTCCTAGGCTATGCACCACAGCAACCACCATCCACCTATGAGAGGAAGGGAGGAAAATATTTGGAGACAGTCTGATTAGATCTAAGATGTACCAGTAGCCCAACAAAAGAACAAGAAAAAAATTAATTAGGCAAAGCATCGTGGAAGATGTCCTTTAAAAGTAGGATTTAGGCAATGGAAAAGAAGAGCATTTCCACCAAGGAAATACTGAGACAAAGCAGAGTTACAAAAAGGAGGAGATAATTTCTAAAATTCTTGAAACTTTATGTGGATTTCCAAATATCTTGTTTTTTTAAAAAAAAATTATTTTGAAATAATTATAGATTCACAGGAAATTTAGGAGAAAAAATGCAAAGAGCAGTCCTGTGTACCCTTCACCCAGTATTCTGCAGTAGTAACATCTTACATAGCTATACAACAACAGTGTTGAAACCAGTGACAGCAATGGCTGCTGCCATCATGGCGACTGCAGCCGGGAAGCGTGGCTGGGGCTGCACATGCCATGGAGCCAGTGGGAGCCTTGCCCCTTCTGAGTTGGGACAGCTCCCAAACCACAGCTGCAGACCCAGGCCTCTTGCTCTAAGGATCAGGCAGGAACCCTGCCCTCCTGGGCAGAGCTACAGCCACCCAAACTGCAGCTGTGGATCCGAGTCTCCCTGTGCTCTTAGGGGAGCCAGAAACAGGCAGGATCTGCCCTCCCAGGTGCAGCTGCAGCTGCCCATGCCCACGGCTGCAGACGTGGGCCTCCTGGCTTCAGGAAGCAGGCAGGAGGTGGGGATAAGCAGGAGCCCTGCCCCTTCTGAGTTGGCAGGGTGGGAGCTCCCAGGTGCAGCTGTGGCCGCCCCCTTTCCTCCCCCTCGCCAACATCCCTGCAGGCTCGGGGGTGTCTTCTCCTGCTGCCTGGCCTCTCTCCGCTCCCAGCACCTGCTCTGATCTCTGACTGGGGATTGGGGCCGAGCCCTAGGGCCATGAATGGCAGCAGGAGGCAGATTAATTCCTGGGCAGAAAAGGGCAGGTCCCCAGTAAGGCCCCATCTTCAGGCCAGGGAGGGCCTGAAGACTGGGGGCCAGGCTGCCAGTCCCACCACCGGAGTGGGGACTCCTGGTGCCTCTTCTGGGTGCCCATGGCTGCTGATGGACCAATCAGCAGGCCCTTCCTCCCCTCTGAGGTCCATAAAGCCTTGGGCTCAGCCAGAGCAGGGCAGAGGATGGCCAGAGGAGGAAGAGGACAGAGAGAGGATGGGAGGACCAGCTGCAGAGAGGAGTACCCTCTCCACTGAGAGCTGCGGAGACGACCTGCTGGCAGAGAGGAGCTACCCTCTCTGGAAGAGCTCCGGAGACCTGCAGAGACATCCAAATGACTTGCCTACGGAGAGGAGCCACCCTCTCCAGGGCCTCCTCTCTGCTGAGAGCTGAACACTCAATGAGAAGACCTGCCTACAGAGAGTAGCTACCCACTCCTCTGAACTAGTCTAACACTAAATAAAACTCCTCTTCTTCACCCTTCACTTGCCTGCATACCTCATTCTTCCTGGACGCAGGACAAGAACTCAGGCAAAGGCGCCTCGGCCACAAAGGTTTCTGACCAGAAAAGTTGACACCCCAGAGATCCTGTAACACCAGGAAGTTGACATTGGTACGATCCACAAAATTTATTCAGATTTCACCAGGTTTTTTTTTTTTTTTTTTTTTTTTTTTTTTTGAGACGGAGTCTCGCTGTGTCTCCCAGGCTGGAGTGCAGTGGCGTGATCTTGGCTCACTGCAAGCTCCGCCTCCCGGGTTCACGCCATTCTCCCACCTCAGCCTCCCAAGTAGCTGAGACTACAGGCGCCCGCCACCACGCCCGGCTAGTTTTTTGTATTTTTAGTAGAGACGGGGTTTCACCATGTTAGCCAGGATAGTCTCGATCTCCTGACCTCGTGATCCACCCGCCTCGGCCTCCCAAAGTGCTGGGATTACAGGCTTGAGCCACCGCGCCCGGCCAGATTTCACCAGTTTTGTATGCACATTTGTGTGTGTGTGTTTGTGTGTGTGTGTGTATGTGGTTCTATGCAATTTTATCACATTTCTATTCATCACCCCAGTTAAGATTCCAAACAATTTCATCACAAGGATCCCTGCTACTTCCCTTTCATAGCCACAGTCAATTCCTGTCTTTCCTGCCAGACCCTCTCTGTAAGCTCTAGCAACCACTAATCTGTTCTCCATCTCTATAACTTTATGGCAAGTATGCTGTCTTTTCAGTTACAATATAGCTTTCACTATAGCCAGTGTTACTTTGTGAGAACCTTGGTAGCATCTTCACCTTGGATTTTTAAAGCTTCTAATAAATTCCTTCAGTTAGTAGTCAGATTATCCAAGACACTTTATACCAAGGTTATTGCAAACCTACTGTCATTAAATTTCTATTCTCCAGTTCTTCCTCTTACTCTGAAAGATGATTTTTTTCCAGTGCTTTACAAAACAACTACGACCAGCAGATGTGAGTGATTTTACCTTTTTTTTTTTTTTTTTTTTTTTTTGAGACAGATTCTCACTTTCTTACCCAGGCTGGAGTGCGGTGGCAAAATCTTGGCTTACTGAAATCTCCACCTTCCGAGTTCAAGCAATTCTCCTGCCGCAGCCTCCTAAGTAGCTGGGATTACAGGTGCCCACGACCACGACAGACTAATTTTTGTAGTTTTAGTATAGACAGGATTTTCCCATGTTGTCCAGGCTGGTCTCGAACTCCTGACCTCAGGTGATCCAACCACCTCGGCCTCCCAAAGTGTTGAGATTACAGGCATGAGCCACTGCACAAGACTGGGTAGTTTATAAGAAAATGGCTCACAGTTCTGCAGGCTATACAGGAAGCATAGTGCATCTGCTTCTGGGGAGGCTTCAGGGAGCTTTCAGTCATGGCAGAAGGCAAAGGAGGAAGCTAGAGTCTTACACAGCAGGAGCAGGAGCAAGAGAGAGAGTTGGAGGGAGGTGCTACACCCTTTTAAACTACCAGATCTCTTGAGAACTCACTATCACGAGGACAGCACCAAGAGAATGGTGCTAAACCATTCATGAGGAATCCACCCCCATGATCCAATCACCTCCCACCATACCTCACATCCAATACTGAGGATTACAATTCACCATGAGATGACAAACTATACCACCATTCTACTGGATGCAAAGTGGTATTTCATTTTGTTTTGTATTTGCATTTCCTTGATAAGTACTGGTGTTGAGCATCTTTTCAAGTGCTTATATATGTCTTCTTTGGAGAAATGCCTGTCTAGATCCTTCACCCCTTTTTAAATTGGTTTCTTGGTCTTTTTTAAAAAATGAGTTGCAATACTTCTTTGTATATTCTAGATACAAGTCCCTTATCAGATACATAATTTGCAAAAATAAAAAAATTATGTTATTCTATGAGTTGTCTTTTCACTTTCTTGATGGTGTTCTTTGAAGCACAAAAGATTACCAAAATTGATCACATTCTTTGTTATAAGAAAACTTATTTCCATAAAAGAAATAGAGAACGTTATTAAGAAACTACTTCCCAAAAGCACCAGGCCCAGATAGTTTCATAGAGAAATTCCACTGAACTTTCGAAGACCAAATAGTCCGAATGTTTTCTACATCATTCTAGAACATTGAAAAGGAAGAAAAACTTAACTCCTTTCATAAAGCAAGTGTAACACTGATACCAAACCAGATAAAGTCAGTGCTAAAAAAGAAAACTACAGGTCAATGTCATGAATATTGA